ATTATATTAAGGTCATGGAGAAGGATGATGCATTATGTTGGATGCACTAATATAACTCCCTATGAAAAAGATGTATCAAGAGTAAGGATTTAACTACATACCATAATAATAAATTCTATTATTATAACTGACAACTATCAATTTTCTATTTAATAATCAATATAATAGCTTGAGTTTTGGACATGTACAGTAGATGCATCAAGTGATCGTGCTTTGATGCTCTATCTATATAAAAATAATCTTATAAACGGTGCTCCATACAACCCAGTAGTAGCAGAATTATCGATGAAGAACTGTGAGCTTCAAGATAAAATTGATAAGTTTTGGGATAGCTTTAATGTTTCAATCCAGATGAACAAACATGGATGGGATGGTAAATGAAGGATACTATCAATTATTGCTGATAAATTTTTGTATCGTGAACTACAAGAAAATTTGAAGGTAAATTTTTTTATTGATGATTTACATCAACACAATAATCAAAATTTTCACACAAAATTGTTTTTAAATTTTTTAGATTTCAAATGATATGATAATTGCTGCAAAAATTTATTCACGAATTAATGGTCCTGGTTGTGTTGCAAGGGAAAAACCTGTAGTTACTCAAAATAGAATATCAGAAGAATCAGGAGTTTGAGGCTTTTTTTGCAGATAAAGACAATGTAAGTATGAGCTCTTATAAAGTTGATACTAAAACAAACCTTCCAATTCTCTATTTGAAGGATAACAAGCAAGAACTTTGGAAAAAATTTGAGGCTACTTATCCTGATGGAATTAAACGTACATCATTTATGGCATGCTTGGCAAGTGGACCATATGTACATCAAAAGGATCTGGGTGGTCTATGCAGTATCTGTAATGATTATTTTTATGAGGTTTTTACTACATTGAATAGCATAATCCATGCACACATAACTGATAAAGAAGAAAAGGCAACTAAAATAATATATATTTTGTTTACATAATCAGAAATTCTTAATTTAATCTTAATTTTTAATTTATCATCCATATAGAATAAGCTAGTTACAGAATTGGAAAAATTGCAGGTTCATTTGAGAAGAGGTTTTGAGGAAGAACTTGTCATGAATAATGATGGTACAACACCACATGTAGATATAATAAACCATTGCCTGCTTTATGCATTTGGTGAATGCAATGAACAACATAATGAAAATTGTACCCAATGTAATCAATTATTTGTGGTTATCAAAAATTTTATCAACAGATTTGAAGAACAAAAATCCATAATTGAAGAATGTCGGGACAAGTTATATTACACCAAGCAAGGAAAGTATATCTGAATAATCAACTTAAATCTAGATTAGCAAAATTGGACAATTATGGTGCAATTTTAATTTGTGATTATAAAATGCGCATTTTACCAAAAACTGCAAGAGAGACTAAAGAAAAATTTTTTGGGAAGTGTGGATGGATATTGCATACTATTCTAGTTTACACAAAATTTGATACTAACCAACTCAATATTCAAGCATTTGATCATTGGAGTACTGATACCAAGCAAGATGCTTGGTTTACAGCTTCATCATTTGATTCTGTTTTTGATAATTTAGATCCATGACCACAATGGATTGAAGTGTTTTCAGACAATGGTGCCCATTACCACAACTCAGAATTAATGACCATAGTTTCCTACTGGCACCAATGGTATAATATTGAAGTTTGTGGTTAGTATTTTTTTGAACCAGGAGAAGCAAAATCAAGTGTTGATTCTCATCATGCACAGGTGAAATTTTCTAAATTATGCTATTGTATATAAATATATATGTATTTCCATTAATTAAAAAATATATCTTTCATTAGATTTCTCATGCTATCAAGAGATATGTGCGTGTTGGCCATAATCTAGATGAAGGAGAGAAAATAGGAACAGCAATATGTGGATTAAAGGTGACTTTTGTAGCTCATCTTGATCCAATGCGTCAAAATCAAAAATCACAAAATGAAAACAATTGATGGAATCACAAAATTGTTTTACTTTGAATGGTCAATTGAGGGCGATTATGCTGGGTTTATGTTTTTTAAAATGAGAAGTTAGATTTACCTCCAAAAATAAATTCTTTATTATGTGTGGAAAAAAGAATTTTTATTATTCGATGTAGAAACATTTTACATGATTCACAATTATTTTGAAATTTATTATTATGTTGTCTCTTTTAGTGGATGATTTAACAAATCATTGTATCTTCAAATACTTACTGCAAATTTGTAACATAATGATTATCATTAATTGTTTGGTATGAACTTTATAAATGATATTAAAAAAAAGGTTGATTGTTATCAAGGAGTTCGGTTATAATTTAATTGAGGATTTTGTTTTGTCATTACTCGTCTTCTTTGGTTTCGGGTGTTGTCTTGTAGAATCTTGTTTATTATTTTTTCAGATTCGAGCGATTTTGACTATATCGATTCTAAGAGTTAATGTCTGTCAAATTAGTTATTAATTAAAAAAAGAAAAGATAACTTACTTCAAGCATCCTCAAGGATGCTTGAATTATTTTCATCAACTGGCAATACACAATTATCTAGTTTTCCAAATCTATATATGCCAGACCCGATACAATCCATTGCATAAAAGTTTAACTCTACACCTAATAGTTAAATATTCATGTACTAGATATCATAAACATTTTTTATTCTTATTATTTCTATTTATAATGAGCAAACTTACCAATCTGTAACCATCCATATACAATTACTTTCTTGAGTTGTTCATCCATTACATATGAACAGATTTTAAAAAATTGATTTAGACTATCTCTTAACATGATCATAAGCTTTACTTTATCAACATATTGTTTTTTCCTGCAAGAAGCAGGCATGCCAAAAAAACCCAGGCCACCAGAAACCTCTCCATATATGATCTCAAATTTAGTTGGTGTTTTAATCAAGGTTCCTTTCATGTCAACTTTGTATCCAATCTTTGCTCTTGAGAAAGGATACATTTTTTCATTTCGTGCTTTATTGGTTGAAATTGCTTGTATCTCACCCCTATATTTAAAAACATTGTCATTTGAAAACCCCTCAAAAGAAAATGTTGAAGATAATGTAGGTGATTTTTTTACCAAGTGTTTTTTATATTTGGCGATTTAAAAATACCAGAAAACAATGGAAATGTTGACATTTTCAATCCTTCTTCAGTGCACATTTGAATTAAATTTGGCATCTTATACTTCCTGGATAATAGTCCAAAATAAGAACACCATATTAAATAATAAGAAAATTTAGATTATATATATTTAATACACATACATAAATTGAATGTTCACATCCAATTTGTTGAGAACTTCATCTTTGTCAATATTTATGCAATTGTCATCAAAAAATTTTTGGATGTTGTTTGGAGTAATAGTGTTTTTATTCCATCTAATTTTGTTAGAAAAGTCCTGTGATAATTTTCGAATGACTTCATCTTTTATTTCAAAGTCATTAAGATTTTCTCTAGTCAAGTCTAATATTCCCCAGTATGTCAGACTAGAATTAGCAAATAAATAAAATGTGTAATGTATTAATGAACAGGAAGTTAATTGTAAATACTTTAAAATGATGGTTCCAAACTTACGTTAAGATTTTACAAGTTTTTGGTATCTTTTGCTGATATTTATGAAATGATTCGATTGTATTTACATCAAGAAGCTCCTATTGATGATGAAATAATGTGTTTGATAAATACCCTTTGGTACTTTATTATGTTCCAAGTGTTTGTTCATAAAATATTTATATCAAGCTTTACCTCTGAATGTCTATCATTATTAGCATTTCCAATTGGTAATTGAATTTCATTTGATAGTGAATTTTCATCAACATTTTTGATTATTATTATTGATTCTTGATTGGATTCGTTAAATAAATATCCTTGCAAGTCACCATTATCTACCACATATTCAATGTTTATATTATTGATATCCTTTTTATATTTCATTACAGAAAAGTAAAGTTCAATTTCACTTAAAAAACTCAAAGACCAACTTATTTGAAAGAATACTGAATTACTTACAGAATCTACTGTAAAAATAGTGGCAAAGGAGCCTGGATAATCATTTGCTTCTTTGTTAAGATTTTCTTTATTTCCAACTATACATGCAGCCCAAAGTATTTTGACATTGTCATAAAGGGGGTTACACATGTAGTAAAGGGGTGTTACACTTATGT